CACCTGTGCACAAATGTATACTCTCTGTGTGATTTACAAAGACAGTTTGCATATTTGTAAAATGTAATGGTTACTTGTACAAGGTGTGCCAGTTGTCTATTATAATACCATTATTTTTACTTCATAATTAAGAAGATGAATTGCAATAGAGAGACTTACTGTTAAAAACACAAATGTTCCCTGAGGATGTCTGGACAACAAACAAATCAACACAATTCACAGATGCAGTGTTGCTTCTGTCCATTTAATGATGACATTGTTTAGGTAACAGTACACAAGTAACTGTTGTAAGACAGAAGAAAAGTGCAAAGTCTGTATAATATTGCACACACCTGATACTGTATCTACCACACATATGCCTTTCACACCAATACACTGGTACTGTAAGGCTATAACGTTGAGACAATCAGATTACTGACTTAGAGTTAATTAATAGAATATTTTTAAATGATTTATTTTGTGCTCCTCTGTACATAAGGTAGACAGAAAAAATAAGAACACTTTGTATCACTACAGTATTTACACAATTCCAGTAACAGTGATCCACATTTTCTATCTTTAAGATACAACACTGATAAATTGTTCTCTACTTCTTCTGCATAATGCTTTTGCCTGTAATGACAAACAATGATCTATGCCCTGAAAGTAACTGACGTTCAGGGAATCCAGGCTTCTTTATTACATGTATTGTATTGACACCTCACCGTGCTCCATTACTTCACTGAAGGCACAGCATTATGAGTGAGTGACCTTCTAAACCAAAGGTTCAGTGGTCAGTTTCAGCAGCGAACGAAGAAAGCAAGTGGCTGTTTAGTGTCCGTTTCAACGACACTATCCATGTGAACACACTTACTATATAACCAGTGTTAAAGGATAACTTCTTTTTTTAACCTGCTGTATTTCCTCTAAAGGTGGGTATGGGGACAATATAGCTAATGCTAATTTTGCTATCATTACCTCTATTGTAGAGGTCCAAAGAAACGAAAAGTCACATTAAAAGGCATCAATGGGGCAACTGGTTGGCCTCAGAGAGAGCTCTGAATAATCATGATTTCAGTCAAATCATTTCACATGCTTATCTCTGAGTCAGAAGGAAAGCAAATACTAGCTACAGCCATCTGAGAGAGCCATTACAGCCTACCTGATAAGTCATCAGGTCTAGCTCACCCAGATGTATATTCCTTTGTAGTTGGCTACCCCAGGCCAAATATTGTATTTGCTTTCCAACATGTCATAAATTTAAACTTACACGTCTGCTCTGATGATTTCTATCAGTTCTAAAACTAGTCTATAGATGCAGTGCTGCCAATAGCTGAACAGGCAGCAGAAGAAATAAGCATCATCTGTGGGTTAAGTGTACTGTGTTAGTATCTGCTACCCGCCATCACCTGAATGCACATTTAAGAGTGTGGGCATTGGGACAGAGCCTCACTTTCAGTCCAAATTTTTTTTTTTCCAAAAACAGTTGTCAGATGTTCAGCATGTCTGCCCTCACTTCCTTCTTCCACTTACTGTTTCCCTGAACGCCATCAGAAAAAAAAAACTCATCAGGGGCCTCAGCTACAGTCATGTTTTCACATACAATTTATTAAACATGTTCCCTAAATTTTGGCATAAATCAACAAATATTTCTGTGTTATTATCACCATGATTATAGTTTATTATAATAGGTGCTGCACAAAATCATCAGAGGGCCAATTACCTGGCAGTAATTGACATTCATTCTTTTTACTTTTCCCACACCCCCGACACATGCACGCACACAAACGTTTTCCTCTTCCCTTTACCGCCATCATTTCATGTCAGCGCTACATTAACAGAAAGACATCACATTCAAGTGTGATGTAATGGTTTCAAAAGAGGATGTGACTCTATCCCACACTGTAACAAACCAGCCATTTCATTGATGTCACTGTCAAAAGTCACTTCCACTGTGGCAGAATGTAAAAGATAAAATGATACATGGGTTATAGAGGCTGATTTATATTGGTTTCTCCACACGTTTAAAAGTGTAAGTCTAAGCATCTTACTTGCAGAGGAAAATGTGTAGAAGGACAGGACCATCGGGCCTAAAATAGCTGAGGGAACAAATATGTTGCTGTCTAGTCAGCATAGATGATGAATCCAGAAAAGGTGCTGTACTTGTTGTTGTTGCCTCCATGAGCTTTCCCTCCGTCTAGTTTAATGTAGACCTCATCTCCTGGCTCCAGATGTAGCACAGCGCTGTTACTGGCATAGTCATAATTCTGGTATGGCACTAGCACGCACCTGCAGCAATGCACACACAAGCACACAAGCGTGCACAAATCATGCACATTAAGTGAACATATCAAAAACTCAAGAAGTTTAAAGCCCTGCTTTAGAATTAGGACATTTACAGCATGAAGCTGTTGCACCCTGTTTACATCGGACCCTTTCAGACCATATTTCATTCAGTGATTGATTTGGTGAATGCATAGAATTTCACAGACTCTGAGTTGAGCTTTGCACGCAGTGACAACGCTTGTAGCTGAAAATGAAGTGGTGGAACAGTTCCACAAGACACTAAGAAAAAATCAGTCAAAGCAGACAAAGTGCTCATGCTGATCGGCTCACTGACAGATTTGCTATTCTCAGAGCCTTGTGAGTAATTAGCAACGTAAAATTTATGCCAGAGGTGTCAGAAGAGAAAAGACTAACAAAAAGGAAATGCCATAGGTTCAATACAGATATCATTTTTGGGAGCTGAGTTATGTTGTATGCTATATGATTAAGACATATAGCAAAGCTCCCAGCTTCTCTCTGGGGACCTTAGCTGTAAGTCATAACCCTCTTTATCCCTACATGTCTTGTTTCTGTCTCTACAATCACTATCAATAAAGGCAAAGTAACAAAAATAAATTAATAATTTCTTTATCTGGAACATATTAATAGTCTAAAGATAACATGGCACTCATCTTATGAACAAAGTTAAAATGCCTTTAATTGGTACGTTCAATGAATAAAGTATTTAAAAAGTAACTTCAATACATTTCAGCATCTAGTCTTCCTCAGCAAGTAACAACACATGACAAACAGCCCAAGTGAAACATATGCAAGTAAGTAACACTAATGAACAACAGGTGAAGTTGTTTAGTCATCAAGACATCACCAGTCTGGTGAGACAGCTAGCACGTCCCTCCTTTGTGAAGAAAAGGGGAGGGGCAGAAACAAAATTAAGATACTGTATTCACGTATAATATAACTGCAAATACCTAAAAGGAAAATCAGCACAAATGAACCAAATAAACCAGTCATAAATAATGTGTTAAATCTAAATCTTCATTAAGGCCCAGATATTGAGTGGCCTTAAGAGTAAATATTCAAAAACTTCATATGTATGGGCAAGGGGGAAAATGACTGTGTTTGATTCTTCTAAACATCCATTTTCGGATAAGATAATTTACTGGAGAAGATGCTAATGGTGTGATATTAATCTGGGAAGATTTGTTGTCCTTTCATCAGTACCTCGATAAAACTAATCAAAATATAAAACTCTCTTTAGAGTACAATATTGAACTTATTCACTTTTTGGGCTTAGAAATTTCTAAGGATAAAGAAGAACACTCTACTGTTTACAGAAAACCCACAGCCCATAATTTGTGATAATGAAGATGATTTGATCAGAAAGCTGAGGAGATGGAGGATTGCTTTATTCAAAAAGGTTGTGAAAAATCAGTCATCCAAAAGAAAAGGAGGAAAGCCAAGGATTTACAATGTCAGGATCTTCTACAAGAAGGAAATTCTAGACAAATCAGCAAAGAGTTTTCTTCTCCGCTAAGTTTAACACAGAAGCATATAAAATTAAAAATAGCATCAAAAAGAATTGGAATATACTTCAATGTGATGCTACATTTGAACAGATTTTTACAGGACTCCCTATATTTAGTTTTAAACATTCACCTACTTTAAGTGATAAACTTATACATAGTTATTTACCTGCGGATCCTAAAACTACCTGGCTTCGCTCTAAACCTGTAGGATGTTTTCACTATGGTCCTTGTAGTCACTGCCCTAATGTTCTAAAATGTAAAACCTTTCCAAGTATTTGTGATGATAATACTAATGAAATAAGACATTTCATTAATTGTAAGATGACATTTGCTATAAACAAATTAGTGTCCTCTTTGCAGAGTTTTTTTTATATATATACAAAGAACAAAACGAAGATTATAAGCTAGGTTTGCAGAATATAAATATGCAATGAGGACTGTGAATGAAGACTATCTCATAGCATGATACTTTAAAAAGAAACATAATAGGAACCCATCTATTCTGAAAACTATAGGCATTGATCATACTTCAGAATCTATAAAGGGGATAGAATTAAATTACTTAATTGGGGGAATGTTTCGGAGTATTCAAGCTTAAGGCCGCTCAATATCTGGGCCTTAATGAAGATTTAGATTTAACACATTATTTATGACTGGTTTATTTGGTTCATTTATGCTGATTTTTCTGTTAGGTGTTTGCAGTTATATTATACGTGTATATCTTTTCGTTTCTGCCCCTCCCCTTTTCTTCACAAAGGAGGGACGTGCTAGCTGTCTCACCAGACTGGTGATGTCTTGATGACTAAACGACTTCACCTGTTGTTCATTAGTGTTACTTACTTGCATATGTTTCACTTGGACTGTTTGTCATGTGTTGTTACTTGCTGAGGAAGACTAGATGCTGAAATGTGTTGAAGTTACTATTTAAATACCTTGGACATTGAGCATGCCAATTAAAGGCATTTTAACTTTGTTCATAAGATGAGTGCTTCAGTATCTTTTGTTTGTTGATCTCCAAAGCTTCATGCCCATTACCTTTTTTTGTCTGACTTCAGAACACTAGTTCCAAGAAGCTCTCCTTTTCTTCTGCTTTTTTATATTAATAGACTATAAGTTTCAGCAGCTAAATGAGTAAAAACTGTTTGGTTAGTGTTACGGTTAAGGTCAGCAACTTATACAAACACATACACAAACATTAGAGATGTAATCAACTATATCAAAGGACATGATGTGGAGAGTGAAATATACCAATGACTCAAACTGTGCGTGATGGGTTAAAGGTTTCTTAATGCACCTTGATAAACAGAGTCAGGAAGTCAGCACATTACAGATATAAGCAGGAGTCTGACCGTTCAAAGCCTTAAAACAAGCAGTAAAGTCTTAAGGCAGGACATGGCAGCTGTTTTAGATAAAACACCCAGACTAGATGAGAGATTATAAATTCTACTAGTGCTAGGGCCAGAAAGTGTAATTGTAATTATTTTAAAGTTGGTATCAATGAACTGCAGGGAAATATTTGACATCCAATATTATATTTCTGCAAGGTCAGGCATAACACCAGAAACCAATGCTACCGGGCTTTAAAGGGACCTACAGAGGTGTATCATTTGCATAGCAATAAAATTTTTCTGCCACTTGATGAATGGTCATCATTTGAATCAGTTGTGTTGAAGCTGCTTTTGCTAAAGTTTTGAATAAAAATGAGAGTTCAGAGATGGATCTAAAATTGCTTGCAACGGATCTAAGTAGGGGTTCTTTAAAAGGTAGTAAACAGTGACGTGCTTAAAACTGGAGGGAAAAAAGTCAGAGGACAAAGAGCAAGTAATAGCTAAAATATCTGGACCAATTGTCTGCAATTCTGCTTTTAAAAACCAAGTGGAAATCCTGTCTGAAGGGCAGGTAGAAGATTTTGAACATGCAACATGTTCCAGGGTTGTCACAGAGATTTCACTGAAGTGCGTCAGTGCTGAAGATGGGCAGGCATCAACATCAAGCTTTTCTCTATTATTATGATTAATGTGCTGCTGGGGTATGAATATAATTTGGATGTCACTAGTCGGCTGATTTCAGGGCTCTAACTGAACGTAGTGCAGTGTAACATCACAGTGTGAAGTACCCACAGACCTTAAAATAGTTGTGCCCACTCTGTGTAACAAAAGACTGCTGCTCTGTTGGAACATAGTGCTGCTGTGACAGCTCAGATCTTCCATGACTTCTGTTTTACACCTAACCAGAGTGAAATCAGAGCAATGAAGAAGCTTTATACTGAGGACAACATGGAGAAAATTATGGCAAAGAAAAACATATGAAGTGATGTACCACACATACTTCACATGCACGAGCTCTTGGGTTCAATCCCCAGCATATCTTAGTGTGTTTTAACTGGTCTGTCACTCCAAGAATGAGTTTATAATGTGGTCAGTCTGCTTCATTAATGTAATCTCGCTTTTTTTAACCTGCAAAATCGAAACATGGAGGAAAAAACAGGCCTGTCTTAGAGGACACATGAGAAGAGGGGCAAAGGAAAGAAGAAGAGCACAAACCACACAGATCAACAGGGTGGCTGAGATGCACAGAATATCACTATGTAAAAAAAAAAAATCTGATCCATAGAAGTATTTCAGAGAAGGTGTATGATTTTGTTCGATGGCTTGTATTCATTACTCTGTCATGTTTTTAAACTGTCTCATACAGGCCTACCATCTGAGGCACTCTCTTGTCTGTAGTTCACTCACAGAAGCTAATATACAGTATATTGTGGTCACTTGCAATACCAGAGAAATACATGTTTTTAGTTAGGCAAAGGCTGAGTTCTGTGGAAAACTACCAGCTCTGCTGATTGTGCTGCTGTTTGTTTATCTGTGAAATCAATGCCTGAGTTGCTGGTAACAGAACAGAAAGGAACAGTGTCACAATTATCTGACCAGCTCCTGGCAGCAGCTGGAAGAAACATCTCTTATCCACAGTCGTCACTCTCATCTGTTGATCCTGTTTAGAGAATTTTTTAAATCCAAACTTTGATACTTTGATATAAAATAATCTTTACACCTGATTAAGAGTATTATTTATTGTTATATTTTTTGGCATTGCATTAATTTAATGCTTTTAAACAGGTACTAAAAATTGCACAGTGCTACAGTACTTGCACTGCATAAACATAACTTCAACAGCAACACAAAACCCAGCTAAACTTATTTAGGAGGCAGGAAACCAAACGGATGCAAGCACAAAAACTGAATTACTGTCTGACATAAATTACAGAAACGGAGTTTAACTTTGCATCTTTACCAGTATTTACCTGAGTGCCTCCTTTGTGGCAACTCTATTCTCTACCATTAAGTGCATTTTGACTATGTCCCTTATTATTGCAGTTACTGTGTAAGAATACAGATACCCAGAAAGAGAGATAGTTGGCTGAACACAGCAACTTTGACACGTTACATCCTATCTCCTAC